TTCATCCTTCATTCAACAAAATAACCCAATATTGCTCTTAGTTCAAATAATTTCCTCATGTGTAACGATTAAATGATTCCCTGCAATCTCCGCGCGTAATTAGTACTCATTTCAAATAATAATCTCTACGATTATTTTGTTTAATAAAAATATTCCGAGCGGAACCTTCATTTGAACCGGCACGATAAATAAGTCGAAAAAAATCACTTGAAAGTCTGTTAGCTGCAAGGGATAGAGGGAGGTGGAGAAAGGACATGGCACATAAAAAAAAGATGAATGCTCCCAAGAAAATTCATTTTCAGCATTAAATGACTCATTAAGGGTTGATATGCCGCTAAACAAGCAAACAAACAAACGTTTCAAATTGAGAAGACACCTTTAAAAGGTAGCTAAGAATGTTTTCCTTCGCGCACTAAGAAACAATATTACAACTTCTGAATTTATTGTCTGGTCGAGTCTCCAAGTGTTTATTAGCCAGTAGCAGACTAGCCAGGGTGTTAGTTTGCCCGATAGCAAGTAGGCCATTGATAGTGGATCGCCTATCTATATAATACTAACACTTTAATCTTGTATGTAAATTAATCACATCCCATCTCTCCTCTCGCTTGTACCCAGCCACTATAATTAAATGAACGTTTTCAGCGCTAAAGCTGAATTAGTTAAATAAAGCTTCTACTCAAGAGGTGTTGCTTTATTACAGTATGTTTGCTTGTTTTCGAGATACAGCTTAAATGATGCATAATATCCATAATAATTTAGAAGTATATTGTACCGTAAGCCCTTGCTGAGTACAGAGCCAAATTTCATTAAAATTAGACAGGAGGTTTTTAAGCTAGGGTCATTTTTCTGTTCTTACAGCATTTTTAATTGGAATCTTAGTATTTGCTTTCAGTACAATATTATCAATCCGCGTATATAAACAAACACTTACATATTATATTCCACCTATTAGGTGTGTGAAAAATAATAAGCATGCATATACACTATAACGACATTATTAATTAAATCTAAATATATATAACACAATAGATATTTATACAATTCACTACAAAAAAATATCACGTATGTTTGGCAAGTACTTGATAAGTGAAGAAACTATGTGGGTGTGTATTTGTAAAACGCAACCTGTATGACTGGAAAAATGTATCATGTGACTTGATAGTAAATAAATAAATAGGTGCACGCTAGTTTGCCGCTGTTACGTATTTTGAAATGAACGTGAAGAAGAAACAAGTATATATAATAAAAAGTATAATTATTTTGAAAAAAAATTACCTAAAAAATGAAACAAATGGATGCATCTATAGTTTATGTTATTTCAATAAATATGAATCTCTCTAAGCAGACGATTGCTGCTCGTTTTTTCGTTTTTTTTTTCTGACATTCACCTTTGAAAATTATAATATAGTAAATACTAAAATGGGTTTAAATTGTCACTTCGAGATTACTTGAACGGAAAGGTCATTATTGTGATATCAGTTTGAAATTCTCTTAAAAAAAAGTAAACTTTTTCCTGTCGGACAATGTTTGCATTAAAGTGATGTTTCAAATTAAAACTAGGTCATAGTACAGGAACAATGATAGGCAACCTATGTCATTCTGCTATTGTTAATTAATTGTTCGTTCTGAAAGTCTGTTAGACAATTTAATGTCTATCATTGAATTTCCAGCTGAATGTCATTAAGAGAATAATGTGATGCAGCGAAGACATTATTTGTCTAATTACCAAATATCATATACACTTATCGTTTTGTATCATGAACTGCTTTTAAAATGAACCCAACGGGTTTATGGGTGTTCTAGTATCAAATAAAAATGCAATATAGAACAATAGTTTTTTAGTAATAAAAAGGAACATAAACTTTATAACGTCATCTTCACACTATCAGTTACTATGTCCAATGGGTAATTATATTAAAATAAAAATAATCTATTAAACAATAGACACGAGTTAACGGTTTTTTGTAGACATCATCAGATTTTTGGTTTGAATTATTAGCAAAAAAAAAAAAAGCATAAAATATAATAACTTGTTTAATCCATAGCCCAATCATCAGATTCATGGTTTGAATAATTAACTAAAAACATGCATACAATATAACACCCTTCATAATCCATAGCCCAAATAAATAGTTTAAATACCCTACAAAAAAGATAACCCTTTATGAAGTCGTCAAAAACAAACGTTACGACAGTTTTTTTTATATGCACAAATCCCTTTCATAAAAAAATAAAATAAAAAAATAAATAAATCTCCATAGACATGCAAACTAGACGAGGGTTAATACATCTTCCGTTTAAAATTTAGACACCCCTACCTTTCCCTGACTTGACATCTATGAAAGTAACTCTATACTGATACTTATTATTAACACCCAACACTCGCCTACCCAATTTAAACAATTCGCCCTAGCTGTTACCATGGAAATTTTGATTTCAATTTTTAAAACACGTAAATTTCAGATATACGTTATTCCAAAAAATTTCGCTTGAAGATGGAACAGAGCTTACTTTAACTCAATTTAATTTAAATAATTATATTGAAGTTTTCGGCTCTTGTTTTGAAACATGAGACCTCTTATGTAGCGATTTGGAATCATATTTTTAAATA